GCCGGCACTGGGAGAGGGCTGTGGACGCAGGAGGGAAGACGATAGCTGTCCCAGAGGGTCTCTGTGCAAACTCCTGGAGGGAGCACGTGTTCCTCCCCTCTGGCTGGGGTCCAAGGTCTCAGCCAGGAGCTCCAGCACGCTGGGCTCTGGTTCCCCCCACTGCTGTCCCCAGGAAGCCAGGCCTTGGCGTCTACCCCGACCATGTACCCCTGGCCTCACGACGTCTACAGTTTCCTTACCTTGTTCTTCTAGAATATTTCCCCTCCTCTTGTCTCCCAAAGCCAAACTATTATATTTCCCCAGACCCACCTTTAGTGGACCACTTCTTGAAGTCCCTCAACCTCTTTTAAGCTCACTAGATCCAAGGATTTGGACTTCACGATTTTATATTAATTAGACATGCCATAATACTCTTTTCAGTTTTTGCTATAGGGTGCATGGGCTCTCCAGAGAGACAGAAAACAAGAAATCACCCCTCGGGGACAGTCACCTGCAATCCCTTCTCCTCCATTCTCCCCTTGGGATTTTGGGCACGCAGGCACACACGCACATGTGCCCAGAATGGGTTTTAAGTTGCCAGGTCCAGGACTTGAACTGTGGTCGACTACATGGGAGTCCAGTGATGTAACCATGGTGCCATCTGCTGGTCCATATCACTCTTAAATTCTGTGTCTTGACTCTTCAGCTACACTATTTTAAACCTTCATCAATGGATGATTTTTCTCTATCCTGGATTTTTCCAAGACAGTTTTGTGCCCAGAGCTGTTTTTTCCATCCATATCTCAAGAGCATGAGAGAGGAGGGAAGGGGATTCGCAACTACAGCCTTTCTGAACTCAGGCAGGCCCTCCTCTGCTTTCAGCGTGCCACCCCAAAATTCATGTGCTGCGACCTATTGGTGCTGGTATTAAGAGAACAGAACCTTAATTCCGACACGGGATTAGAGATGGGATTAGAGGCGGAGCATCTTGGACGTAATTAGGATTAGATGAGGCCATGGCGGGGGCTCCTGAGACTGAATCGTGGGCGGGTTAGTAAGGAGGACACACACACACACTCGCTCTTGCCTTGCTGCCATGTGACACGCTGAGCTGCCTCGGGACTCTGCAGAGCCCCTGCCGGCAAGACCCCTTGACCTTGACCTCCACAGCCATGAGCTATAAACCTCGATTCATTTTCACATATTCGTTTTAGTTTTTTCTATAGGGCGCGTGAGCTCACCAGAGAGAGACAGAGCGAGGGAAAGCGAGAAATCTCCCCCCCAAGGGAGATGGCTACACTGCAATCCCTTCTCCTTCACTCTCCTCTTGGGATTTTGGGCACACACATGCCCTGTGTGATTTTCAAGCCGCCGGGTCTGGGACTCAAACCATGAAGTCAGCCATTGTTTAAACCAGTGCCCCCCCCACCTGCTGGCCCTCTGCTCTCTATAAATCTCTCCATCTGTGACGTTCAGTGGTTAGCAACAGAAACGTCTCTCTGCAGGGGCAAAGGAAAACCCAAGACCTGAGAGGTGTGAGCCAAGGGAAGGTGGCAGGGCTCGTACCAGCAGGTGAAGTCCACCTCATCTCCTCCCAGGTGCAGATAGAAGTCCGGGAACACGGAGCTGATCTCCAGGAAGAACGTGCTCATGAACTCGTAGGTGTTGTTGAGGCTGGGGTTCACTGGTCCAAAGGTGCCAGAGGGATGGGCCCCAGAGTAGCAAGGAGTCAGCAGTCCCGGGATCCCTAAGCCAACGAGAGCCCCCTATGAATGTCACACAGGGAGACGTGCGGTCCTACTGCGAAGGGCTTCATCGTACGAAGACGGTCGCGTTCACAGCACCATGTGACCCCACGCAGGCACACCCAGGCACTCACGGTCACAAAGAATGCAGACCTTCCTCAGCCTACACAGCTGGGCTCGCCATGACAGGCTGCTTCCAGCAGGAGGCGCACTTGCCCACAGCCGCTCTCCCAGCTTCAGGGAAGCGCAGAGGGCAGCACCCATCCAGACAAGCTGGCGAATCCTCCCTGCTTCCCCTTTCTGCGGGGACAACCATCACGAGGGTATTTCTGCATTTCCCAGGGGGCATCTCCCTTGGCCAGACTTGCCCTTGTGAGGCTGAGGCCACAAAAGCGCTTCAATTTCCTATGAGGCTGGCAGCCTCTCTGTCTTCCTTTTCTAAAAAAAAAATTATTTAAAATTCTAAAAATTTGCCCTAGGCCACATGTACTCACCAGAAAGAGAGGCACAGAGAGAGAGGGACAGGCAGAAGGAGAAAGTGAGACATCGCCCTGGGGGGATGGCCATGCCACACCCTTCTCCTCCAGTCTCCTCGGGATTTTAGGCATGTATGCACATCTGGTGATTTTCAAGACCCTGGATCTGCGGCTCGACCCCGTGGGATCCAGCACCCTAACCTCCATGCCACTGGTTGGCCCTCTCAATCTTCCTTTACCCACCTCTGGGGCTCTGTCTGGGGACCCCCTGGAGGGACACAGCGGCAAGTGAGTGGGCAACATGGCGGCTACCTGACTCTGACCAGGCGCCCTGGGCTCCCTCTCCCAGTCTCCCCGTAGCATCCACTGCGGGGCATCTGGGGAGAATTTACTCATATTTTAATATGAAAAAGTGGCCTCCTTTGTGCAAACTAAGTTCTATCTAAATTCTCAGATGAGAGAAGTGATGGAAAACATTCTTCCAGGAACCAAGGCTGGGCCTGTCACGGCCCCAAGTGTCAGTCTGAGGGCAGTCAGTGGGCTCCCTGCCATGCAGAGCTGTTCTCACCTGGGCCCCAGGACAAAGTGTGGCCAGGGGTATCAAACTCGGCCAGCACACGGATGCCCCGGAGCCGCGCGTACTCGATGACCTCCTTGACATCTTGTGGCGTGTAGATGTGCGTGGCGGGGTTGTAGGATCCCTGAAAGGCACAAGACACCCTCTGGGTCTCCTTTCCTAAAGGCTACCAGGAAGGAGGACATCAGAAATGCCCCCAGGGCCCCCCTGCGAGCAGAAAACCTGCCCATGGCCCTTCGGAACGGCACCGTCACTTCCCGAAGTCATCACATCTACAGTTTGAGCTGAGCCTCACGTGCCGATGGAAAAACCAGGCAGGCTCAGCGTCCATTTAAGATGGTAAATATTGCAAAGAAGATGAGGGCCAGCAGGTGGTGTGGAGATTAAGACACTGGATCCTACTTGGCCTACCGCACAGTTTAGACCCAGCGGCTTGAAAATCTTACTGGGTGCATGTGTGTGTGCGTGCCCAAAATCCAGAGAGACTGGAGGAGAAGGGATTGTGGCATGGCCATCCCCCCAGGGGGTGATTTATCACTTTCCCTCTCTCTCTCCCCGCCTCTTTCTCTCTTCAGTGAGCACATGTGCCATATAGCAAAAACAAAAACAAACAATAAAAAAAAAAAAAAAAAAGGAAAAGAACAGAAGAGATTTATCTCCTGAAGGGCACAAAGCAAGTTAATGGCAAAGTGGGGCTTGAACTCCTGTCTCCCGACTGCAAACCCAGTGTGTCCACCCAAACAGGCTGTTGGGCTCAGAGCCCTGTGGTCAGCGGGCAGAGCCAGGCTGACCTGGCCGGCGCCTGGGATGCGTGCACACTGAGGCCTACCTTCTTGGTGAGCTCTGGGAAGGTGAAGCTCTCGTATGGGAAGGAGGGGTCGTCGACCAGATGCCAGTGGAACACGTTGAGTTTGTTGTAGGCCATGACATCCTGCGGTCAGAGCACACGCAGTGAGGTCGACATAGCCTCAAATGTGGGGAGCCCAGTGGGATGGCGCACTGTGTACCTCCCGGCCTGGAGGAGAGACCTGGCACTGCCGTCTTCTCCCAGGACACACCCAAGGATGCTGACAGCATGTGAATTCCTCTTTCTAGATGAATTCTGGTCACAGGGGAAGGCCATAGCCTTCCCTAAAAGCCCCAGACAGCCTGTGGCCTAGTGCTTCCCCTGCCCCCGCCGGCTCGTGCTGACCCTCACTGCGGGGCTGCCAGTCTGACTCCAAGGCTCAGATGCCATGGCTGATGGGCGCGTCAACCCCTTTGGCTCCACCAGAGGAGTGAAGGCAAAGGCCAGCATGTCAGTTGGATTGGTAGCAGTCAGACGAGACTGCGTCCAACTTCCCAGCGAAGGCTTCGAACAGCTTCTTGTGATCTGATCCTAACTAAACCATGTCAGCTCTGCCTGGCCAGAGAAGCCCTTTCCCGCCACCTTGTGTCTCTGGAGCAGTCAGACAGGTGCCCAGGACCGCGCCCACCAGGGGATTTAAGTTGCTCCCGTTCCTGAGTCTCGGAGCAGGGTGTCTTACACGGTCCCCCAGGATGTCAGAGAGAGAGACATATTTTCTGTCACCGCTCCGGAGTGTGAGACTCAGCCTTGCCCCACCCCTGTCCCACCCCCCTAGGCCCTGGGTGTGCAGGCGGCCGTAGGCCTGGGTACCAGAGTGTCCAGGATGCTGGCCAGGGGCAGGTAATGGCGAGACGTATCCAATAGCAAGCCCCGGTGAGGGAAGCGGGGATAGTCCTGAATCTCGGTCTCGTTGACGAAGAACTGCAGGCCAGACAGGGAACGTGTCAGGGTCCAAAGGGAGCATGCCATGGGGGGAAGGAGGTCCCTGAAAGGCCGACGTGCGGCTGTTTTGCAGGACGGTTGTCTCCCCAAACACCCCCTCATCAGTGAGGGCCAGCAGCTGCTACTCAGAGAGCAACCGTCCCGTGCCAGTCAGACCCCGTCCCTCATCACTTGGACCCAGCTCCGGGGAGTTCCTGACTGCTAACACGTTTATTTCCATCAGAGCAGATAATGACTCAGGGAGTCCGATGACAGTGACTCAACACGGACCCGCTCTACCAGACCCCTTCCCTCCACATGGCCTGTGCCCTGTCGGGCCCCGTCTGAGGGGCAAGGAGAGAGCCCCGGGGAGACGACAAAGCCGTGCTCACCGTCCCCTCAGCAGATTTCCAGACGAGCTGGCTGAAGGTCTCCAGGCCTAGGGAGGGGGACAGCGGGGCAGTGAGTTCGCTGGCGACGGGAAGAGATGCACACGTCTGGGAGGCTCTCCACGTGGCAGGGTGCGGTGTTCGGCATGTGGTGACAAGGGACGTAGGGCGGGTTGGGGTCCCCCACGCTTCCAGAAAGGATGCTGGGAAGGCAGCATCTGTGTGGCCCTGCATTCACCCGGGGTGCACTGCAGGCTCTGGGCCGCTCCGCGCAGCAGGCTGACCCTCACACCATGCACCCTGTCCCTGTTCCTCGCACCCGAGTCCCAGGAAGGGAGCCTGGATGTGTGTTTGTGAGGACCGGCACAAGGACAAGTTGCCTGTGACGAACAGAGGTTTTCCATGGACAAAACCCACTGGGGGCTACGGGAGCCGAGAACTGGAGCCCCTAGATCTCCGCCCTGCCACTTCTCCTGGTCCCTCTTCCTCTCTAGAGCTTGAGGAGAGACCCCGCTCTGGGGCACTGCGGGCTGGGGGCCAGCAACCGCCCCAGTCCACAAGTCTCCTTCTGCCCAGCAAGGCCACGCACAAGCACGCAGGGCCTCAACGGTCATCAGACACACGCGCTGTGGAAAGCCACGTGTGCCTTGAGCCGTGTCTGCACCAACGGGAACTCGTACTTGAGCCGCTTCCTTCCAGAGCGTCTTGTGTCTCCGCATGGCTGAGCCCAGAGCACTGTCCCTCCCAGCAGCTGGGCCCAATGCTGTGAACCTGCTGCCTCCTGAGGGGTCCCTGGGTCCCAAGATGTGAAAACAAAGACCCCATGGACCCGAGCGGCCGGCAGCCACCGCGGCAGACCGTTCTGGTGCAACTGTGGACCTTCGCCCACGGGCGCTGCCCAGCGAGTCAGGAGCCGGCCCGGGGCGCGGTGGGGATAAAGGGAGGGGGGAACGCCGTGCGAACGACCCTCACTGCTTACCAGCAGAGGTTTTACCCAGGCAGCCCACATCCCCGGCAGTCAGTACCTGGGGACCAACACTCCACCGGCCAACAGGAGGAGGGGTGGGCGCCCCCATCACCGGCGGAAACTCATCTCCAGGAATGACGGGCGTCTGGCTGTTCTGCTTATCCCCCCCCGCCCCGCCCGTTTTACACTCGGCAACTTCTTGCGTCAGTTTTCTACTGTACAGACCTTTCCGATGACAGGTGTTCCGTGAGAGCTGGCCTGGCAGGGCATGTGGGAGCGCCTGCCCTGCCTGTTCCTGTGGGCGGCCTGGGCCCAGGCTACCCCGGGCTGCCCCTAGCACTCCCCATCCGAGCTACTGCCACAGCACAGGTGACGCCTGCCACTTCCAGGGATGGCCCGGGCCTGCCCTCCACCCACCGGCACCCCGTTGGCATCGGCCCACCTCATTACCTCGGAGAGCCCCCCAGATGCTCTGGGAGAAGAGTAGACACTGGTCGTCGTTTATGCTCAGGGTATCTGCAACGACAGAGACACCCCCGTCGGTTAGGGTCTTCCACCTGCAGGTCACGGACAAGCTGTTCGACAGTCTGGCAAAAGCCCAGCAAGACCACGATGGCAATAAACGAGAACAATTTCTAGAAGAGGGACGGCTGTAAGGTGACCAGGCCTGGGCCAGTGTGGGAGGGTCACGCTGGCTCCGCAGGCCCCGTGGGACAATGCGTGAGGCGGGTTGGGTGGGCAGAGGTATCGCCCGTGCACGGCCCACCTGGTCAGTCCCCCCCTGAGAAATGTGCATCCTACCAACTCCGGCTTAAAGCCCCAAGTCTCCTCTCAGCGAAGGGAACAGGACTGCTGGGAGGGCACGAGGCACCAGGCCTCCGGAGGCCCCTTCTTCCCTCTCCCTAGGCTCAGCTTCTTCATCGACGACTGTGGAAGATGCCACCACTCGGAGACACAGGTACCCAAAGGCGGCCGCTCAGCGAGGACCGGTGCCTTGGCTTCCCCTAGGCAAAGGCGACAGTGCCCCTTCTCTGCCCGGTGGGGTCTCTGAGAGTCACGAGCACATTCTCCCCAGGTAGAAAGGCAACAGTCTGGAAGGCGGGCATCCTGTGGGACTCGCTGGCCGGCCGGCCTCAGGCACCCATGGCAGCTTCCG